TTTTTTTAGAGATTTTCACTATAGGGCACATGTGCTCGCCAGGGAGACAGAGAGAGACAGAAATCAAGAAATCAGCCCCTCAGGGGGATGGCCACACCACAATCCCTTCTCCTCCATTCTCCTGGGGACTTTGGGCACGCATGCACATGCAACCAGCGTGAGTTTTAAGCCACTAAGTCTGAGACTGAAACCATGGTCCACTACATGGGAGTCCAGCAATGTAACCAATACGCCATCTTCTGGTCCCGATTGTGAATTTAAAAAAATGATTGTAACCAGGATCAGCAGGTGGTGTGGTTAAGGTACTGGACTCCCACATGGGCGACTCCAGTTTAAGTCCTGGACCTGGCAGCTTGCTTTCTCACTTTCTCTGGTGAATGCATGTGCCTTTTAGCAAATTTAAAAAACAATAAATAAAATTATTCTTTAAATTATTTTTAGCTGTTCTAATAGGTGTGAAGTAATAAGTCATTGTGGTTTTGATTTGCATTTTCTAATGCTATTGAGCATATTTTCATGTGGCTATTGGCCTTTTTTAATTTTCTTTGGAGAAATGTCTTCAATCTTTTGCCTAGCTTTTAATTAGGTTAGGTTTTTGTTGTTGAGTTTTAGGGGTTCTTTATACATTCCTGATGTTACAAACTTAAAAAGATATATGATTTACAAATACAGTCAGTCTTCCATTATTTGTGGATTCAGTATATGCAAATTTGCTCACTCACTGAAATTTATTTGCAACCCCCAAACCAATTAATATTCATGGTACTTTCTTAAACATTCCCACACATGCATAGAATGGTGAAAAAATTGAGTGGTTCAATGTCCATGTTTCAAGCTGAGGTCTAAGATGGCAATGATCTTATGTCACCTTTCTTACTGAAAAGAAGCATCCTTCTTTATAGAACACTTCGTGCCATGTTTTTCACATTTTTGTAATTTTTGCTGGTAATTTTGCTGTTTAAAATGGTCCCCAAGAGTACTTCCAAAGTGCTGTCTAGTGTTCCTAAATGCAATAAACTGTCATGTGCTCTATGGAGAAAATACATGTTAGATAATCTTTGAGGCACAAATTTTGTGCTGTTGACCACACATTCAATGTTAATCAACAGTATAAAATGTCTTTGTACAGAAACACACATTAAACAAGGTTATATATTGATCAATTAAGGACAGTATTGTGATCTGAGGCTCCCAAGAACCTAACCCTAGAAGCATTTGTTCAGTATTTGCTAATTGAATGTTCACAGTGACTCTATAACATCATTACTGTGAATAAGAATTGGCTCTTTTTTCCATTGTGTAGGTTTTATCTTCACTTTATTGATAACATCCTCTTGATTCACAAAAATTTTAATTGTGCTGAAGTTCAATTTATTTTTTATTTTGTTGCTTGTGCTTTCTCTGTCATATCTAAGAATTCATTGCCAAGTCCAAGGTCATGAAGATTTACCCCTATATCTTTTCCTAAGAGAATTATGGTTTTAGCTCTTACATTTAGATCACTAATCCATTTTGAATTAACTTTTTGTATTTGGTGTGAAAGGGTACAACTTCATTGTTTTATATATAGCAATCCAGTTGTCCAAACACCATTTGTTGAAGCTATTCTTTTTTTTTTTTTCCCCATTGGATGGACTTGGCACCTTTGTCAAAGTTAATTGGCTATATATGTGAAGGTTGATTTCTGGATTGACAATTCTATTCCATTGGTGTATATTTCCACCCTTAGGCTAGTACCACATTATTTCAATTATTGTATCCCTGTAGTAAGTTTCAAAGTTGGAAGTGAGAGTTCTTCAACTTTCTTCTTTTACAAAATTTAAAGTCTATTTGGCTTCCCCATATGATTCCATATGAATTTAAGAATTAGCTTTTTCATTAAAGAAAAAAAAAGACTGCTGTAAACGTAATAATGTTAAATCTGTAGATTGTTTTGGGTGGTACTGACGTTAATATACTCTTCCTATCCATCAATATAGGATGTCATTCCATGTATGTAGGTCTTAGTTCATTTATTTCAGCAATGTTTGATGGCTTTCAATGTACAAGTGTTTCACCTTCTTGATTGTATTCCTAGGTATTTTGTTATTTTAGGTGCTGTTGTTAAATACTTTATTTCCTGTTTGTTCATTGCCAGTGTGTAGAAAAACAGCTGATTTTTGTTTATTGACTTTGTAACCTGCAACTTTGCTGAATTCATTTATTCTAGTAACTTTCTTATGCATTTTGAGATTCTCTATTCACATCATCTGTGAATATAGTTTTACTTCTTTCTATTTAGGAAGTCTTTTATTTCTTGCTGTTTTCCCCCCATTAATTGCTTTAGTGCAAACTTCTAGTACACGTTGAAACAAATACACACCTGTACTAATCTGACTATTGGCTGTGTGCTAGGGCACTCCAACACTTAGCAAGGCCTGTGCTGAGTCTAGGGACCAGCCTAAGACGAAAGCTTAGGTCTTCCTAGGTCTTTGCTGAGCCTGCATTTTGCCCTGGCCATGATATTTTCCTATGTACACAGGCACTTTTCTTAAAACTTTATTTCTTCCATGCGAAAGAGTGACACATAAAGAATTAGCAACAGCACCCAAAATAGGGTCTTCATGCTAAGATCCATTCCCAGCTTTCCGCCAGCCCTGGATCACTGGGCAGGTGTGTGTCCCTGTGCCTGATGTACTTAGGGAAATTTCAGGACTTGAACTGAGGAACTTCCCTGGTAGGATTGCCTCATAGATACTTTACTGCTATGCAACACTGGTACTTTGAATGTTCTAATTTTCCAAAGACTATCTCTTCGGTCTTCTCTTCTGGGCCTTATAGGTGTATTGTTATGTTAATAATTTGTTCCTGAGGTGTGCAGGTTGTTAGCTCTCTGCAGTGTTTTCAACAAATGCTCATCACTTTTTTGTACAGGTTCTAGGTTAAGCAAAGCAGAGATGAGATTCTTCCGGCCATTTTTCAGACAGCCTTGGACAGGTTAGAACAGCCATGTTAGGACTGCTCTATTCACAGTGGAACCAAGGACCAGGACCCCCGCCCTGGGAACACAGGCTGTTTCCTACTAGAACTTGAGTTCAAAGATCTTGCCGTCGTCGTCTTCTTTTTTTTTTTTTAATCACTCTGAAAAAGGTGCTTGACTTAGAGCAGATACTCAATAGCTACCCCCGGGACAGTGCTTTTTGAAGCACAGTGGTAAGACTCGCTCTATCTCCTGACACAGAAGTCAAACCCTCGGTCCTAGGGTTCGTTCGGCTCGTGAACCAGACAAAAGCGTGAGCTCCACCACGACCTCCAGTCAGCTGCGAGCAGCGTCCCCGCGCGGCCCCTCCAAAGACTACAAGTCCCAGCATGCCGCTCCCGGGCTCCGGCGGCCCCGCCTTTTACGGGCGGGCCGCACGTGGGCGCCGCTCTAGGCACCGCCTCTTCTCGTTGCCCCGGCCGTGGGCGCGCGATGGAGAGCGAGGGCTGGTTGTTTGGCGGCGAGTTCGAGGACTCGGTGTTTGAAGACCACCGGGAGCGGCGGGCCGGGCC